ATTTGAGGGAACAAGGGATGTTTGTTGTCTAAAAAGTTGGAATTAATTTTCTTAGTGCAAGCTGTTATGTATGTACAATTCATCCAAGTAGGGGAATGAAGATGTTGAAATTTTACATGCTTTCCGTATTAGTCGATTTCAGTTTTCTTTATCTTGTTGTCTTGTGTTCCCGGCCCATGTTGTTATACAAAAATTGTTCATACTTTCTATGGTTGAATGGTAGAACATGGACAGCAATGTTTTATCAACTTTAAAATACTTTAGCTTCCTTAGAAAAAATTGTCTTTTGTTCACTTCCTTAATAACACAAATGAGTTTTTGCTATCTTTTGGGATCTTGTTGGTATGGGGGTCATTCTAAATCTAGATCTATACTCCTTAATATTATAGTAGAAATTGATTTGCTTTCATGTGTAAAATATAATATTAACTTAAGCCTTAGAGAAGTTATAACATAAATAATTTCTCTGATATTTAATGGGGATTTTGCTGTTGTATTTTCATTTAAAATTATCATTTGTGGATGGGGGGGGGGGCGGGGGGTGGACGTGCCAAACAGGGGAGAAAACTCGCAATTTTGTGGGCAAATAATAAATGTTCTAGGGGAAATTTTATATGCCCCTGTGGGCCAATGAAATAAGCACTCTGAAATGAAAAATGGATTCACAAAAAGCGCTGCGCAATCCACCGATCTACAGAATATGCAACAATCGTGTTGCGCATTCAATGGATCCACAAAACGTGCAGCGCAATCCACCGATCGCGTAAATTGACTGAACACACCAAACATAGATCTTCAGCAGCAGAGTAACAATCTGAGCTTTGTTGATCTTTGATCTTTGACTTTGATACAAGCATACTCCCTTGGCCTGTGGGGTGGTAGGGGGGGGGGGCAAGGGGAGAGGGGAGAAGGATAAGAAAGAGGAAGCAGTCACTGACACTGTCAAAGAAAGTCACTAGATATTTGACTTGTGATAGATCTAGATATCTAGAGATCTAGAAATCTAGAGGTAAGATTGAAGAATACCAGACCAGCGGACTGACTTTGCCTATGTCTCAACCTTAGGAATTCATAATTTTCCCGTTTTTAATATCTCTCAATGGAGAATCTCGGACCGGTACATCTATTCATTAAAATTTTGTCAGGGGGGAGACCCCCCTGAACCCCCCCTCCTCCACCCCAACCACCCGCCCCACCTACCCCACATTCTCGCGCAATAATGTACGAGTGGTCCGGTATTCTTCAATCTTCCCGAAATCTAGATATAGATCTAGTCTCTTGATCTACATCTAGATTCTAGATCTAGATATCTAGATCTAGATCTAGAATCTAGTTGCTACAGATAAAGTAATAATACATTGAGGCTACTCACCACCTCCAGCGAAAAAGGGTTTCTGTTCTTTGCTTGTCATTGCTCTGATTTCTGAAATGATAACAGTTTAACTAGAATCTACATAAAGTTCAGATTTAAGTCAGATAGCGGGAAAACTATGAAAAAATACGCTTCAATATCGTCATTAGGTTTTTTAACACCGAATGTCCTTCTCTCAGCCTATTGTCTTTGCTCGACCGTGCTTCAGATTCATTTTATTGTACGATGGAAAGGGAGGTCAATACACGCAACGCTCTGTACTTCCTAATACTTCTTTTGTCGATAAAGTTTAAGGAAAATGCAATCTCTGACGACCATTCGCTGTTTTACTTTCCAATTTTTCAATGACTTCGCGAATAAAATTAATTATGAGCTCAAATCTGCGGATTAACAAAAGAAAAAAAGATTATTTTTTTTCAATCAAAGGAAAGCTTGCAAATGCTTTCGTCTACAAAAAGAAAAATATATTAAGGCTAGTTTGAAAGTTTGACTGAGAGATCGCAATATAAATAATGTACATGTCTTTTGTACAAAGAAAGTGGAACAGGCTGGTTAAAAGAGAGAGAGAGAGAGAGAGAGAGAGAGAGAGAGAGAGAGAGAGAGAGAGAAAGAGAGAGAGAGAGAGAGAGAGAGAGATTGTGGCACTAAACTCTACAGCCAGCAGAGTTGTCTTGCAATGGATTCCTGGGCACATCGACATTTGGAAACAAATTGGCGAGGGAAGGGGGACAAATGGAATAAAGTCAGCAATCCATGCCCAATGGAACGAGACGCACCAACAACGCAGAAGAAAGGACCCAATCTACCCAGCTCCCATGCAAGAGCCGACCAAGTGATAATCTTCAGACTCCTCAGAACAGGAAACAATAGACTAGGTGAAGCATCACATGTTCTCCCGATTCAAGATCGGTGATGGACCCAACTATCCTTGTGGTGCCAGCCGTCAAGATGCTCAGCATATTTCCCAGGACAGCCCAATATATACTGTTAATGCCTATAAGGCAAGACAAAAATACTGGCATCAACCCGGGGATGTGCACCAGAAACTGTATTAATGGCAGCCCTCTTGACATAGGAATCACTGAGGAATATCTCATCAGCACGTCAGCCCTCATTACCATTATTATTATTATTATTATTATTATTATTATTATTATCATCATTATTATTATTATTATTATTATTATTATTATTATTATTATTATTATTGTTATTATTATTAACAAATATTATAGACCTATTATCGGTAGTAGTAGTAGTAGTAGTAGTAGTAGTAGTAGTAGTAGTAGTAGTAGTAGTAGTAGTAGTAGTTGTTGTTCTTGTTCTTGTTCTTGTTCTTGTTCTTGTTCTTGTTCTTGTTCTTGTCGTAGTAGTAGTTAAAATATAATAGTCATTAAAAAGAATATTCGGCATGATCTTAAAGGGAACTGATCCTAAAATATTTCAAGCTATGATTATCATTATTGTTTCCCTTGGAATTTTCGCCGCCTTTTCATCCATAAATTTTATATTTTAGAACATAAATTGTATAATAGATTAGTATTGTATGTAAAAAAGATAACTGATGAAGATTAGCATACCGGCCCTTGATTTATTCTCTGAGATAGAGAGAGAGAGAGAGAGAGAGAGAGAGAGAGAGAGAGAGAGAGAGAGAGAGAGAGAGAGAGAGAGAGAGAGAGAGAGAGAGAGAGA